CTTTCTCAAAATGAATTTTCTAGGCCATCAACTTCAAATGGCTTAGAATACAAACCGGATGAATGTGAGGCGTTTTCTAGGCTATTCAGCATACTGGCCTAACTGTCTCAAAATGAATTTTCTAGGCCACCATGTCCATGTTGAAATGACCTAAAAACCTGATGCGTTTTTTAGGCAATTTCAACATGGTGGCCTAACTTTCCGAAAGTGATTTTTCTAGGCCACTATGCTTAAATGGGCACTAAACCCCTCAAAAAACTTCAAAAAAGCGCATGGAAACCAACATTTTGGGCTTCCTTCTACCGTTTCAGACCCATTTTAACATGCTGGCCTAACTTTTTCAAGTCGATTTTTCTAGGCCATTATGTTAAAATGACCTAAAAATGAGGCTGACCTGCATCTGGTGTGATTTCTAGGCCATTTAGAATAAAAGTTGGGCCAACAGGCTAAAATGGCTGATTTTCCGCGTATTTTCTCGCTGATTTTTAGCTGAATTTCAGCTAATTTGGCCTAGAAAAATCATTTTGAGAAAGTTAGGCCATAACTAGCCAACTTTTTGGCTGAAAATCTCTGAAAATTTGGCTAAAATATTGGCAAATCGCAGCAACTGTTTAAAGGAACGAACGGAGATGAGTGAAAAGAGGAAGGCGTATGAGCAACGAGTGGCCGAGCTGTGTGCATCCTACGAAGTCTATAAGGACGTGCAGAGGAAAGTGGCAGAAGGCGAGCAGTTCTATCGACAACTCATGGCGAGGTGTGATCAGTTTGCGATACCCGTGCATGCCATGGAGGAACAGTGTGAGTGTTGCTTTTTGATGGCTCAAAATTGGCTGAAAATTGGCTTAAAATTGGCTCAAAAGCGTTTAAATTGGCCCTAGATGGGCCTAAGCATGGCCTAGACGAGCCTGAGGAGGCCTTGAATCAGAAATGACCTAAAAAGTGCTGCCCCAATTTATACCCAAAAATAGCTAGACCGGGTTACTGTAGAGCAAGGGGCGTGCGGAGCCAAATGACCTAGTTTTCCAAAAGTGGGCGGAGCTAGACCCCCTTGTCTTGTAGATGTGGGCGGAGCCAAATAACCTAGATTTCCAAAAGTGGGAGGAGCCTACCGTGGCACTTGAAGACGGCGGAGCTTCAGAAGCCAAGGGATACGGTTGCCGATTGTGCCTAAAAGTGGGCGGAGCCTGAGCGGGTCCCTATTGATGATAGGGGGCGGCGCTTGTTGACCTAGAAGAAAGGGGCGGGGCCTAAGTTGATCTAGATTTCCAAAAGCGGGGGGCGGAGCTGAAACTCCTTGAGCCGGGGATGAGTTCTATCTAAAAAAGGGGCGGGGCTTGAGTGGGCGGAGCCTACGACCTAATTTCCCAAACACCCGAAAATATCGATTTTTTGCAGACCGCGAAGAGATGGACAAGAAGGAGAAGGCGAAAAAAGAGGCGGAACACCATATGCGCCAACTTCGAATGTCTCGTGACGCTCAAAATGCTCTGATGGACTTTGGTGGGGGCGGAGCTTCGAGCTATGTGGGCGGAGCCAATCCACCGATACCACGTGGCGGAGGAGGAGGAGCTGGACCCCGTTTGGGAGACTTTATGGACAGCTATCGAGCCCGAAAACACAACCAGACGCCTCAAAATGTGGATACTGTAGACCAGGCACCCCCATCGCCCACGCCAAGCAGTATTTGTGATTTTCCAGTGGCTCAGAGATCGAAATTCGGACCAGCTAGCCCAAGCTCCGCCCACTTTAGACCAGGATCACCTTTCGGTCCTAGCGGCGGCCCTCAAATGCCCCCTTCTGGACCACCCGGACCACGGTATCAATACTCGCCGGCGCAGGCTCCGCCCACTGGATACGCCCAACAACCGTACCCCTTGCCACCTGGAGCTCCGCCCTCTTCCTATCAAGTGCCACGACAGCAGGCTCCGCCCACTTATCCAGGAGGACAACAAGCGCCGCCCACGCAGGCCTCGCCCACTCCGTATGGGCAGGCTCCGCCCACGCAGGCCCCGCCCACTCCGTATGGACAGGCTCCGCCCCTTCATTACGGTCCATCGCCGGTGCAACAAGGAGGTGGCTATCAGGCTCCGCCCACTGTTGGGAATCTAGGTCAGCAAGTTCCGCCCCCTTCCAGTTATCCAGGATACGAATCAGGACCACAAGCCCCGCCCACGTCTCAACAGGCTCCGCCCTCTTCTGGATATCCAGGATATAGCCCATCGCCGGTCCAAGGAGGTCCGGCTCCGCCCACTTTCCAAAACCAACAGGCTCCGCCCCCTTCTGGATATTCGGGTTATGCACCATCCCCAATTCAAAGGCAGCAAGCTCCGCCCACAAATCCATCGACTCCGGCGTCTGGGTTCCAAGCTCCGCCCACTTTTGGGAATCAGGCTTCGCCCCCTTCTGGATATTCGGGTTATGCACCATCACCAGTTCAAGATCAGCAAGCTCCGCACACTCAACAGGCCCCACCCCCTTCTGGATATAACCCATCACCGATTCCAGGAAGGTCAGCTCCGCCCACTTTTGGGAATCTAGGTCATCAGGCTCCGCCCCCTTTCCAAAACCAACAGGCTCCGCCCACTTTCCAAAATCAGGCGGCTCAGTTCAGACAAGGTCCGCCCGCAAATCCCTTCACCCCAGGATCTGGATTTCAAGCTCCGCTCCCTCCGCAATACCCATCCTATCAACAAGCTCCGCCCCCTGCCCAGCCAACCTACCAACACGCACCACAAGCCACGCCCATCTCGGCTCCGCCCCCTTCGACTACAGTACACCAACATGTGGCCGGAGCAGCTACAGTAACCCCGGCTACTACTACAAAATTTCAACCGACAGCCGGCGCTCCATCGCCATGGCACGCGACGCCGGTTGAGCTGAAAGTGAGTGGGTCTTTGTTAAATATGAGCAATGGCCTAAAAATTGGATTTTTGAGCTTAGGGAGGCCTGAAACATGCCTGAAAAGCCTAAAAATCCCATTTTCCAGACGCCATGGGCCACCCAACCGCAATATCACGCCCCGACGACGACGTCAACGGCTTCTGGAGCTCCAGGAGCACCTCAGACTTCGAGCAACGTGGATTTGCTCAGTGATCTACTTGGAGACTTCAATATGACACCATCCATTCAACCAACGATGCCAGCGGTTCAGAATCAGCAACGTGCGTTTTTTTTTTGGCTGAAAATCACTAAAAATGGGCTTAAATCGGCCTCAAATAGCTTAGAAATGGCTTAAATCGACCTAAAATAGACTTAAATAGACCTTAATTGACCTGATATAGGCCTAGCTTGAATCGGTTTAAAATACGCTTTCATCGGTCTGATCCAGGCTTAAATAGACCTAAATTAAGCCTCAAACGGCCTAAAATAGGCTTTAAGTGACCAGAAAAGGCCTAGATTGATTTACCTAAAATAGTCAGAATCGACCTGATTCAAGCCTAAAAATGGGCCTAAATTGACCTAAAATCGGCCTGAAATAGGCTTGATACAGGCCCCTTGATATAGACTTAAATTAAGTCTGAAACGATCTGAAAATGCTTTCGGTCAGATACACAAGCTTAAGATCTGCCTTAAATCTAGTCTAGTATAAGCCTAAACTAGGCCTAGAATCAGCCTGGATTGACATGAGTGAGGCATGAATTGACCTAAAACCAGCCTTAATTAGGCCTTTCTTAACCTGAAACAGGCCTGAATTAGCCTTAAATAGCCTAAAATCAGCGAAGAATCCACCTAACTTGACATAGATCAGTTAATCTAAATTAGGTCTAAATTGACCTTGAACAGGCCTAAAATCTAATAAAATACGCCTGAATCAGCCTGAATCAGCCTTAAATTGCCTAAATTTGCCCAAGCAATTCCCTCAATCATGCCCAATCGATTTTCAGACTTCCAACAGCAGCAGCAGCAGCAGCAGCAACAATCTCAAGCTCCGCCCCCTTTCCCCCAAGCTCCGCCCACTCAGATCGCATCGAATCAATCATCGGTTTTTCAATCGGCTCCCCATCCAACCGAACTACCGTCGTCATCTAAGCTAGCGTTCGTCCGTCCCGCCGCAGCCGTTCAACCGATGCCCCAGAATCCACAACAACAACAACAGACTACAGTAATCCCAGATTTGGCTCAGATTGCTCAGCAGAATGCGAACAGTGCGTTGGAAACGCCGGTAGGTTGGGAATTTGGGGCTGAAAATGGTCTTAAATTGGGCTAATCTAGGCCAAAATTGGCTGAAAAAGACTGAAAATACCCACTAAAATCGCTTAAAATCGCTGAAATCTACCAATTTGTGTTCAGATTCTCATCAAAGGAGAATCCACAAGCATCACTGAACTGTCGGACCCGTCGAAATTCGAATTGGGCCAAGGAAATGTGCAAAAGCTGGAGAAACGAATGCTCCATCAGAGTTTTAGGTAAGAAATCGGCTGAAATTGATAGAAAATGGCCCTGAATTTATGCTTGAAATAGGCCTAAAATAAGCTTAAAGTAGGCCTAAAATAGGCCTAAATTAGGCCTAAATTAGGCTAGAAATTTGCTCGAAATAGGCCTGAAAGTGGCTTAAAGTAGCCTAAAATAGGCCTAAAAGTAGGCTTAAAAATAGTCCTGAAATATACTTAAAATAGCTTAAGATGGATTAAAATGGGCTCAAAATAGGCTTAAAATAGCCTAATTTAGGCTTAAACTAAGCTTAAAATTATTAGTAAAATAGCCTAGAAATATGCTTGAAATAGGCTTAAAATAGGCCTGAAATACGTTTAACATGGTCTGAAATAGGCTCAAAATGGCTTTAAATGGTTCAGAAATGGCTTAAAATATGCTGCTTCAAATAGGATTAAAATGGCTTAAAATAGGCTAAAATAGGTTGAAATAGGCCTTAAATAGCTTAAGGAGGCTCAAAATGGCTTAAAGAAGCTTAAAATAGCTTAAAATAGACCTAAAACAAACTTAAAGTGGCTTAAAATAGGCTTAAAATGGCTTAGAATAGGCCTAAAATAGCTTGAGATGGCTCAAAATGGCTTAAAATAAGCCTAGAATGGCTTGAAATGGCTTAAAATAGGTCTAAAATGACATGAAATAGGTCTAAAATCCGCCTAAAATGGGCCCTAATTGACCTAAAAATGCCTATTTTTCGTTTCAGAACCAACGGACCACCACCACCACTCAACCCATCCGACCCACTGAATCAAATCGACGCATTCGGCAGTTTTAAATGATTTTCGTGTCTTTATTGTATAAAAAAATCTGAAACAAAAAATGCTGAAAATTCGACTTTTGACCCGATTTTTCGCAACTTTTCCCCCTTATCAATAGTCTTATCAATGTAATTTACTGATGAT